AAAACCGCAAGTCCAATTGCTTTGATATTACATATATAGGTACTACATGTGGACCTCTCTCAGATTTGTTCATTTTGTAATGATATCTTTAATTCTCTAATTTTGGTGAATATTTTTGTAATTTTTGGTAAAAAGTGATATTTTCGACTTCTTGTTGAAAACCGCAAGTCCAATTGCTTTGATATTACATATATAGGTACTACATGTGGACCTCTCTCAGATTTGTTCATTTCATGATGATATCTTTAATTCTCTAATTTTGATGAATATTTTTGTAATTTTTGGTAAAAAGTGATATTTTCGACTTCTTGTTGAAAACCGCAAGTCCAATTGCTTTGATATATTATACATATAGGTACTACTTGTGGACCTCTATCAGATTTGTTCATTTTCTAATGATATCTTCTGTTCTTTAATTGCCATGTGCATTGCTAACAGCGGAGCTATCTCAGCCGACAGGCTGCTTGTTTTTCTGTATGTGCATATTGCAAGTGCTAGCGCTGACACATAGTACAATAAAAATTCTTTAAAAACAAAAAAAGACTAATCAAACATGTTAAAGTCAACAATAGAATCATGATAGAAAAAAATGGGGTCATGCTAAAGTTTCGTACAGCTAATCACACACATTTTTGCTTGCTTTATTGATCTTCAAAAAGTATTTGATTCAATTATGCATCTTGATCTATCACATATAGACCTATCACAAAATTTCAAATGTTACAAAACATTTTGGAATGAATTGAAACTAGAAGTAAAGGTCTCAAAATCCATAATTTTGAATAAATCTGGCAAAACTGTAACAAACCATAAATTTGTAATTAATGGACAAGAGGAAATCTTTCTTCATATACAACTATACCTTGGGACTAAAATCAAATACAACTGGTCAATTTAGCAGAGCTCCAAAAAGATCTCAGCCACAGAGTAATAAAAGCTTTCATCATAATAAAACAGTTACTATACTTTGAAAACAATATTCCAATCAAAACCTATCTAAAACTATTTGATAGCATGGTTAGGCCTATCCTGATCTACTGCAGTCACTGTGTACAATAAAAGAAAGTTCTAACAACATTACAAAGGCTGAATGCCACTTTAATAGTGAAATATCAATAAAACAATTACACAACAAATTTTGCAAATATCTATTACAGGTAAATATTTCATTCAAATATGTTTATTGAACATAGTGGGTCATTGATGCACATTATTTTTCCTCTGATTTGATTCAAAATGGCTGTCTGATGGCCATTTTGTTGTTAACGAATGCTGTTTTGGAGCCATAGTCCTAACATGGCTGGAATGATAATGTTCAAGTTCAGAATCTGATTCAAGGCGGGCAGATAAAGGAAGGAAACAAACAAATAAACCGGCTTATGTTTGTCACCTGAGTGTAAATATTTATTTTGCACTAATGTTGACAGTCACTACAAACTGGATGGTCTTAATGCATATTTTGGGGGCATTAGATAGTACCCTGGTTTTTACAGATACTTTAAACTTTGTAGCTAAGTTGTACTTTTATTTTTTGTCTATCTTCCCACCAAAGTTTGTATATGTAGTACATAGAATTATACAATGTAACTTTTTAATAAAAATATAAAACCATCAGTTATTAATTAAAATAATTTGAGAACACACTTTAAATAGTTTAAGTATGTCGTGATATATTGAGTATAGCATTGATGTTATCAGTACCTAATTTTGCTATTTTTGTTTTCATATAGGACAACAGACTTAGATCTTGTTCAGGTAAGTGACTGCTTATACACACAATTTTGTCATTTAGTTACGAATTACTCCTTCTGGACAATACAGGTTAATGTGCCATTCTTTTTTATGAATTACCTCTTCTGACCACAGGGCTTAACATTAATTAACTTTTAAGCTCACTTGTTTGAAATATATTATTTAATGCATGGGTTACTATTCAGTTTACTCATTCAGGCCTCTATACTGGGCTACCCATAGTGTCTTTCTTTATTATGTAATCCACTCTGAATTTTAATAAATAATGTCACATCAACCTCTGATATCTTGAAATTGTCTGATAACCAGGACAAACAAACTTTGCCTCCCACTTGATTCATAGTTGAAATTAAGGTGTGCAAGTGAAGAGGACATAAAACTGTAGTGTCTACATGCGCTGTTCTTGTTTTTATCAGTGTATGTGCAGTATTCTTGTCTTGGATAGAGTAAAAAAACAAATTATCTGTAATAAAACTGTTTTTGCTTCTGTTAACGCAACGTTAGGTGTGTTTCTTCTTTAGAGAAGTTGATCTTTCTTTGTAATCCATTGTACTGAACAATACAATAGATGGGCACTAATCACAATACTAACATAGCTTTGTACTCTTTGTATTGTTGTACATTTAATAGACAATAAATTTCATCTAACCTAGTTTACTATTAGTTGCGTTCACGCACAACTCCTTAGCACGGGCTAAGAGGTCAAATTCCTTAGCCCGTGCTAATTTTTTTTTTTTTTTTTTTTTTTTTTTTTTTAAATATTTTTTTGTGCCAGGCGACAGTTCCGGACTTTGAATGTCACTGTTGTCTCTCCTGACTTTTTTTTGTACATGCAAATTTCAAGTGCTGACACATAGTGCATTTTGCCACAGAAGTCATTTCCTGTTTGGGACTACATGACAGGGCTGTGCGGCCATCTCCCTATCAAGTGGCAATTTAATGCGCTATCCTGGCGTCAACCAGGCTCGGTCAAACACAAGCACCTGCGGACCTTAACCAAGGACCTTAGCCCGTGCTAAGAAAACGTGCGTGAACGCTTAGCACGGGCTAAGGAATGCTAAGTACGGGTTAAATCTGATCCGAATTTAAGACGCGGTCTAGACCCTTAGCACGGGCTAACGAAGTATGTGCGAACGCTTAGCCCAGGGCTAAGTGCCCTCTGTGGTGACCTTTGGGTCTGAAAATTGTCCCATGTTCGTATAACAACTCTTTTCCACCAGTCACTACTCCGCGCTCGCTTCCACACTGATCGGGTCGCTGTAGTAGAGCGTACAGCAGCTCCAATTGTAGACAAAATAAATTGGGTTTGCTGTCTACGACATGCATTAATAAAACTCTGTATTCTGTTACGCCCGTTGTATACTGTTTCTGTGCATCCAAATAAGTTGGGTCCGTCTTCTCTCGCGTTTCTGTGCACGTCGCTTCAAAATTAGAACGAAACATGTCAGCAGCAGAAATAGAACCTTGCGCATGTCATCCGTTTTTCATTCGTAAATAGCGGCTTACCAAAGGTCACCGACTAATGGCACCCTTTAGCCCGTGCCAACGACTGGCCCTCCCTGTGCGTGGACGCAATTGGGTCTAGCCGAAATGCAAATATGCTAGATAAGCCTAAATCAGCTTAAATCTTAGCCCATACTTCGTGTAACGTGAACACAACTATTGAGTCAACTTCGATTGACAAAAGACTTTTATGTATGTTATATATAGTTGGATTATCAACCGACATAATCCCTTTAGTATACTGTACTTTATACAGACACAGTTGGATTAGTGGCGATCAGGTTGCAGATCTCAGCATGTGTCAAACGTGTGTGTGATCGATCGAGTGAAGTGCCAAAAAAACGTGAACTTGGTTCAAATGGAAAGTCAGACACATGCCGAGATTCGCTGCCTGAACACTCAGCACAAACTGAAATCACATTCTTGGTGGTGAACATAAACTGATTCATGACATGGCGATAGAGAGAAGTACAGCTATATATGATCAGATGATGTAGTAATGAATGAAATGAATGCAGAACAATGCTGGTGATGCATATTTATGTACTGTCTCAACTGGTACCTTTTTGCAATCCTACATCAACGTGAAATACTACTTTGAATACTTTTTTGCTGTTCATATGTTTTGGTCAACTATCAGGTCGACAAATAAGGACAAACAAAGTGAATCTGGACGTGGGTCGTGACTATTGTGAAACACAACTGCTTTATTCCCTTTCCAAACATGAAGGATTTCAAATTTTGGCACATGTCGAGATTCCGTTACGTGAACTTAGCAATTGATCCCAGGTATAATCCCTTTAGTATACTTCAAGTTGGTACCATGCTTTTATTATCCATTTTTTGATTATGTGGATTTAAAATTTAGACTTAATTTAAACTGCCAAAGCAAAGACTTTCTTATAGTCAAAACGCGCTGAACTTTCCAAAAGGAAATTTTGTTCTTTTCTGTTGACCAAGTTGCCAGCCATCTTGTAGTATAACAAGCCGATACCGTTTTTGGTGCAGTTAAAGGGTGTTGTTTACATTTGGCTCAACTCAGTATTGAGACCAGCTTTGACTCAAGGTAAACTAACTAGGGTCTAGACCATAGACCCTAAAATTCATGGGATTTTTTGGGGGGTAAATGGTCTAGACCTAAGCTTAATCAATCAATGTAATTTAGCTGAATATGTTGTGTACTGATAGCATGTACTCTGTACACTTGTCTCTCTACACTGTAACTACACACAAGCTTTTAACAGACACTATAAACATGTAGTTGCATGAATCTATTCACACCTATTGCTGGTATTGTACTTACTTTGTTTTACATTGGCAATTCACAGGTTGACCTATCTCAACCATTAGATAATCAAGGCCCATTTGATGTATTTATCCACAAATTAACTGATGTTATATCCAAGGCTGATGATGGAAATGTCAAGGAGGAAAAGATGTTGAGAAACCTTCAGGTAATACCGGGTACCGGGGGTAGGATTGATTTTGATCTTGATGTCCATGAATTTATTGTACCACCTAATTAATATAATACAGATACATGTTTTTTTTAGTTTAATAGCCTAGCTCAGCTCATTAGCATAATCACGTATATTAGTAATTATTTTATTAATTATATTTGATTTTAATATTTTAATGTTTTATATTTTAACACCAAAATGAATGTCCTTTATCAAACACATTGACATCAACAAATTGTGTACGTATTTGTGTGAACACCTATATTTAGTCCTGCAGTATTCTGTTATTTTATGGCCATTCCATCAAAAAGTGTCAAAATTTAGACTGCAGAGTATACTGTATAATTTCTAAAAGAAACATTGAGGATATGTGTAGGTTCAGTTGATTGAAGTGTCAGCTACATGTACGTGAAACAAAGGTTGAATGTGATTATTAAGAAGTTGCAAATTTTTGTTTACAGCTCCAAAAATCATGTTTTTTTTGGGAGGGGGGGGGGCGCAAAACTATACAAATGATATTTGATCTTGTCCATATCGCTATAGAAGAAAATCTAGGTATATGAGGGGTGAATGTTTGTCCTTGATCTTGTTAACCTTGACTTCATTATCAAAGTTTTTATTAAATGTTTAGAAACTTGAAATATATTAGCCAGTTTGGTTTGTGTTCTATGTATATTTTTCAATATATTGGTTAAATTTCTCATAAAATTGTCTTCTTGTGGTTACGATAACTCAAACAGTTTTTATCTGATCATCTTCAAATTTCGGAATCTTATGAAATTACTATGAAATGTCACAACAAGGTTCAATTTTGATGTAACTATCAATTTTCAAGATATAGATATTTTTACTGCTAATAATGAGAACCAGATGTTAGTAGTATGCTCTCCAAGACTTGTCAATACCCTCGGTAATTAGATAAGTATAATAAAAATAAAAAAGTATGCCAAGTGCAGTTTTCCTGCTTTTTATTTGTTTTGCTTTATACATATTACTTTACTACTATGCTAATGTTATATTATTCTATAAGGGACATTGAGATTAATACAGTACATTCATTATTTGAAGAACATGTTTGCTACTATTTTTCTTAATATTTTAATATTACTGCACTATTATTTGAGAACTGTTATCTTTCTTTATTTTTCAGGACTATGTAGATCGTCATCCAAACCTTGTAGTTATAGACCCAATTGAAGCTGTAAGAACTTATTAAGTAGATACACATCTTATTCTCTCATACGAGACTGTAATTTAAAGTTCAAAGGTAAGATTGCTGTCATGTCATTTGAATTGACTTCCCTAAAATTTACGTATTGTTATTTCTCTATTACTAATAGTATTGCATATGCTTACATGAATTACAGAAATGTGTCTATGGTCAAAGTAAGTCTTAATTTAACACATTGCCTGCTAATGCCATTTACCCCATTCATCGTGGCTACCTGTGAAGGCTTTAAGCAGACAATGCAATATAATACATGCAAATTTTGGTGTATGTGCAATGTTGCAACTTTAAAAATTAGTTCTATTAGTTTGGGGTTGGTTTTCATGAGTACTGATACTTATGGAGAGTTCTATTTGAAAAAAACTCAAAGTTTAAAAACATTAGGTGTACTCAGTCATGATCTAAATAGAGTTTATTAAAGTAACAATAAATTCAGTTTGGGTAACAACTCATCTTGGAATCATCTCTCTGTCTTTGTCATGATGTGCAACCACGTCTTTCTGATGCAGGGAGACATTTTGGCAATATTCGCCTCCAGCTAGGGTTGACCTAGAGAATTTTACCCCTTTGATTCCTTAGGTCACTTTTTTTCAAATCCAACGACGCTATGTCACAATTTTTTTTTGCATTTTATTTTGTGACATTTAAATTGCTGTCATAAACACTGTTAATCTTATCTCTCATTTAGGGGGCAGTTTGTAATCAGGATTCAGTTAGTAATAGGATTTCAAAGGTACTTAAATATGGCTGTTTTTTTATCAGATACTTTTCCTAGAATATGCACTCCAAATTTTGTACAAATTGATACTCAAGAGAAAGACGAAATAATGAAATTACTCAATTCTGCCAATGTGGAGTTTCCAATAGGTAAGCACAAGTATTTCTATATAGTCAGTGCATCAAATAATTTTCAAAATGTTTCTGTACGTCTTAGTACATTATAGCAAATCAAAGCTTTGTTGTGCATTTCCTGTGCAACATTCATTACAATTACCGTACAACAAATAATATAGTATTGACATTTGTGATTGTTTCTCACCTGTAGTGTGTAAACCTTTACAAGCTCATGGCTGCGAGTTTTCACATCAGGTGAGTCTACTGTTCCACATTGAATTTACAGTGAACACATCCAAAATGTTATCATTGATATTGCTCTAGATGTTGTAAAATTAGAACAACTGATTACCTACTTTGTTTCAAAATATTATCGAGTACTTTATCTACAGTCCCGACATAATTAGATATAGAAGTAACCGAATATATCAATGAGAATACTTATGATACATAGATCAGAGCATGTTAATAATGAACGAGTTACGACAGATAGATTTGCTGCTAGTCAGCAGAGATACACAATTTTAGTCAGATATTTTACTCTACCAGCTCTGTTTTGGAACACACATGTTGATTCTGTAATGTATCTTTGTAAAATATTTGTGGGGACGTTCAATCCATTCAACGAAAAACTGAGGCAAATGGGCTCCTAAAACCAGTTATAAATTGGTCCCCTTTCCTGTCATGTGTGCTTTCAGTAATGTTGCAGCCATGGAACACACCCAAAACTCACCTGTTGGTCAACAATTCTGTTGAGCAAGTATTCTCAGGTATGGCTGCCTTTTAAATCCCTGTTTGGAAGAAGTCTGAAAATGAAGACTATTAATTTGAGTTTCATGTATACGTCTTTTTGTTTTTATTCATGTCTATGAGTCCCCGCTAATATTATTCATTTGAAAATTTGCACACAAGTACTACATTTATAGTTAATACTGTAGGTTACATGTATGTTCTTTTGTGATTTGATCAAATTTGTCGAATTGACATTAATTTTTGTCTAAAATCTTAAAACCGCGGTATTAAACCTGTCCAGAACCATTTCTCAGACATGAACATGGCGTTTTTATTTCAACCCTGTACCAGGATCACCCATCACAGGTGCATGTCATATTTTTTTTTTGAGAATCAAATAATAATAGCTGGTTGCACTTTTGTTTTATTCATTTCTATGCCAATTCGTAACCTATATTTAACTTGATACAGTTGAAAGTTTGTACACAAGTACTATACTCATATGTAAAACCGAAGGATGTTGTTAGTCTCTTTTTGAATGGAAACATAGACTGTGCACATTTCACATGCTTTGACCGATCAAGCTCAAACTACATACATACATACATCAGACATTATACATCTGTATTGGACATATGCACATGCATTTGTTTCATGATCTGATTAAAGATGGCCAAATGGCATCCATTCAAAGACCAAAAATAGAACAAAATCACACATTTTCAATCTTCTGGAACCAGACCTCAGTCATACATGTATGTGAACAGATTTAGTTTATACTTGGTACATGCATTAAAACAATAGGACCTTGATGCATGTCATTTTATTTATGAGATTGAGTTCAAAATGGCCAACTGGTGGACATTAAGAATGCAGTTCTAGATCCATATATCCGCCATGCATCGACCGATCAAGTTTAAACGTTACACGTGCATCGAAACATTCTATATGCACATGCATTTGTTTCATGACCCGATTCAAGATAGCCGAAAGGCAACCATTTTAAAGCCAAAAATGCATCAAAATTACACATTTTCACTATTCAGGAAATTTCAATATTCAGTCACATGTCAAAATCACGTTCTCATTCATTGATCCATTGATTTTAAGCATGTCGAACGAAACTCGCATTCTGCACACATATTTGATGCTATTTACTGTTATTATTAGTTATTGTGCCGAGCAACAGCACTTTTTTGATTATCGTTTTCATTCTGTTTAAATGTGTTCTTCATACTTCTTGTTCTGTGTTATTATTAGCTGTGCTTGTGAAACTGCACCATTTTTTACAAAAATTCACCACCAAGAGCAATACTTCAGCACATGCACTTCACCCACAGCAATCCCTGCGCTCGCAGATTTGAATCTCTGTCAGCATGAGGTTTTGTTTTTTTCGCCACATGATAACCATTCATACATACAATTTGACGCATGCACACCAAGTCCCAATACTAGGCAATGCAACTGATTTCCTAGATAACACAGCATACATTAAACTCTGCATGCATATACAGTTGTTGGAACCATGGATACTGTGATAACTTTAGAATACAGCATCCATGCGGGCAAGGGGGATAACTGTCTTTATTTTTTTGTGATGTTCAGTACAAACCCTCACAAAAGCAAGTAGAGCAACCTGAGTCAAAATTTAAGTCATCTTACAGCAACGGAATCATCCAGAATACTAGTTATCCTTATCAGGTGATAATGATTTCTTTATTACTTAGTATGTATAGTAAGGTGCTACATTATTATTAGACTTTATTAATCAGATTCATTCTAAAATTTCTACTTTTGATTTTTAGATGGCAATCATATTCAATGAGGAAGGTCTGAAGGATGTTCGACCTCCGTGTGTGGCACAAACATTTATTAATCATAATGCTAAACTACACAAGCTGTTTGTGATTGGTGATTATTATTATACAGTTCAGCGACCTTCAGTCAAAAACTTTACAGCTGGAGGTAAGGTTGATATATATTCTATTTAATATTTTGTGTTGAGACACTCAAGAGAAAAACCTGGATATTTGTCTTATAAATACATTATTATATTTTCTGTAGATCAAAGAACAATATTTTTTGATAGTCATGATGTATCCAAGGCCAATTCTTCATCTTTTCTAAATGAAGTAAGTAGAGAAATATTAAATAATAATAATTTAGTCTATTTTCTGACTTTTTAAATTCATTATATGCCAGAGTTATTGGGTAAACATCAGCTGCTGAAAGCCTCCATGGCATAAGCAGGCAGTGTGTTAAACATATAAGGAATATTAAATGTTTTTAGAACACAAATAAGGGTTTGATGGCAATGTACTACATGGAGAGCATAAGATCACTGACTCTAATGCTTAGCCTTTTTATAATGCATAAAGACTAATTTTTGTGTCAGTTGAGTCTGTGTTTTGCCCAGACATCCTAAATTATGCATGAATAGTTTTTTTGCTCTCCCTTCACTTGAGCATCATCAGTTGTGTTGTATTGACATAATTTGCTTTTTGGTGTTTTAGCTTGACAAAGAGGACTTGGATGAACTTGAAGGTCAACCTCCATGTATCGATAGATTTAGTGAATTAGCCTTCCATGTAAGAAGTCAGCTTGGTGCTTCATTGTTTGGAATTGATATCATAGTAGAGAATGAAACCGGAACACATGCAGTTATCGACATCAATGCTTTCCCAGGTAACACATGTAGTTATCGACTTCATTACTTTCCCAGAAATACACTCAGCAGCTGACCCACAATGTAATTAATATAGGCTGTCACACATGTGCAGTGACTGGTTGGCAAGTTCTGGTCGTTTTCACTTGAAGACAAAAATAATGATGTTGTTCACTGCTGTTATTTTAAAGATATATGTATGTGTCCCTGTTAATCACAAAACAACTTACAGGCAACATTGTCACAGCTGATTGGTTATCAGGTCGACAAAATGTAAACAAATGATATCACAGTGCGACAGCCCTTTAATCTTGTTTTAATTCATGGATTAACCACTGAAATTCATTTCAAATCTCTATCCGTGCCATGTATATCCACAATTTCTCAACATTTTTATCATGATGATAACAATATTGAGAAATTGTTGTTGTATAAATTTTTAGGATGATTCATCCTAAAAATTTATACTCAACATGGTCTAAAACGAAGGGAATTGAGCATTCCATAATATTAGAGTAATGCTGAAGAGCATTTGACTAAGTCTGCTGGTGCCAATGGATCAATGAAGATATTGAATGTTTGACAAAAACGTAAATTGTCAGAAAAAAGTTCAATATATATATATCAATATTTTGTACATATCAAATCTGTAAAACTATAAAATTATAAATATATGTATCAGTTGAAAATATAATATATATAATCTGCATTCTAATTTATGTGAGATTTGAGATATAAGAACTGAACGAAATTAATGCTTGATCTTTTACTTTTCATAGGCTATGATGGTGTTCCCCAGTTCTACCATGCTCTGATGGCACATATTCACAACCAATTAGGCAACTATAAGCGTTCTGATGAGATCATGGAAGACGTCTGTAAAACTGCTTCTTTTATCAAAAGTGCAGAGCTGGTGAGAGATGAAAGCACTCCTACAGCAAAACAAAATGGCAATTATCAAATCCAGGATGATGTTATGAAGCATAAAATAGCAAATAATTCTATTGAAAACCAATTAGATTTTTAAAAAGTTAAGCAAGATGCATGAAAACATCTTGATCTCCCCTAGGTCACAGTCCAAATCAAATATTGCACCAAGGTTTTTTTCCCCAGTTACTAAACCAGATGTTGCACTATGGTCTTGATTTTCTCTCTCATGCATATCTAAATATTTGAAAGTAGTGTTTTTAGATTATTCACAAACATGGTACTTCAAAATGGGTATTTTATGCTAAAATTTGGTATTGGTATTTTTTTCTATGTAATCTGTACCTGTATTTGTACACTGCCTGAATGAAGCTCTAACCATAGTGCATTACTTGGACCAATACCTTGAGCACTTGTCTTTAATGGACACTAAATTGAAATTGTAATTTGCTGTAAATAATGCTGTGTAGTTTTTTTGCTGATATATAAAACAAATGTAAATAAGTTTGGCAAGTCTGACTTGAATGATTTAAAATCATAGTCCTCCACTTTTTGTAATTCCCCCCCCCCCACTCCATTAAAAACTTTTAATTATATTTACTGAAAGTTCTAAAATAAATAAAAATGTAATGACAGAAGCACCATGTATGAAAGGTTAATAATATTAGAGACTGCAATCTTTATTTAATCCTCATGGCTTAAGATTTTTTTCAGGGGGGCACATGTTTGCCACAGCACCATCCATCTGAGAGGAAGTGTCATTTGTGGGTAGCCTAAATAAATTCTTCAGTCCCATATTTTACATACATTTTATCTTATACTACCACCTAGTTTATATTGTGAGTGGAGTACTACATGTACCTATGCCGCAAGATGCTGGTTATAGCAAATAAGACAGACACAGACATCAGACAGCCAAGAAAGTGCTTTAATATGTTAGTGTTGAGGGTGCTCTTCCTTCTATGCTAGCTAAATGGTAGAGAAAATCTACAGTGGCAATTAACAGTATTCGATATATACAGTATGTTCCAATAGCAGAGAGTTTTCTTTTGCTGTTGGATACCTACAAAGCTATGCTTTGTGATTGGATTGTGAGAAAGGGTAATTTATTGTCTTTTCAATGAACACAACAGCCTAAAACACAAAATGCTAGGAGTGCCACCGTGTCTAGTGATGAATTTACATCATAACAAACGGTAGATGTACATGTCAGAGAAATGGACAGCTAGGCTGAGGAAACCACTACGAACGAGAAACCTTTTGAAAAAATTGTCATTTATCCAGAGTCAACGTCCACGAATTGGGAACAATAACAATTTGATTTTCTCTGACATGAAAAGGATAATACTGCCATCTTGTTTTCGTAAACACAAGGGTGACTAATTGAAGATATAAGCCAAAATAATGGCCTAATAGCTTGTCAAAACCACAGTTAAAAGTAACAAACTTGTGAAGTCCAGGCAAAGTGGTGCTGACTCACTTCAGGTACAAATACTTCTTGGCTGTCTTTAAGTCCAATTTGAACACTAAAGAAAGGGAAACTGATTGATTAAGGCTGATTAAACTCGCTTTTTATATCTACAATGTCAAACAATGCGGTAGTATAAAATAAAATGTATGTCAACTAGTTCCAATATTCTGTTAAAGTAGTGAATTATGCAAATAATATCTGCCAAAAAAAGACTTTACTTTGATAACTAGAACATTTGTAGCTGTCATGGGTCCATTCTTATCAACCTTTAAAATGAACATTTATGGAAATGTGTTTGGTCATGATGTTAAATTCTTTATTTCCCATACAAAAGTAATACAAAATATATATTCTGAATAAATTCTATCAACTTGGTTTTATCCATTTTATATCTTTTTATTTACTATCAACATTACTAATCCACCTATAATAAAACTGGTATTGAATTTCTTGTACATCACTGAATCTCTCATACGTAAACTACCGGTAACATTGTCATTCCAGCTACACCAGGTTTGCTTAAAGCACTATTTTCAAATTGTGAGGTTCTGTTAAATTAAAGCAATGTCATATTATTCTTTACATTCTATTCATTTCATAATTTTGTTATTCAAATCTATTTATAAAGCTTATCAATTTGACCATTTTTCTGTACAAGGGGTTTGTTTTCCAGTAAACTTCAAGCAAACAATCAAAATACAAACATTGATGTTTAGATAATGCAATGGCACTGCCATATAATAGGGCCTAAATACCTGTAGCTCCTAATTAAATCCATGTCATCCTTGCTAGACTTTCAATTGTGAAAAGTTGCATCAATTCCAATACCACTGATGACTGTATTGGTCATGAACGTTTATAGTTTTCAAGGTATAATACAAAACACTGCTCATTGAAATATATAAGAATGTCAAAGATATTAAATTTTTATTTCACAATTACAAGTTATTCTTGTATTGACTGTTGTG